ACAAATGGTGGTTTTGGGAGGAGATGCTGGGAAGGACCTTTAAACAATGGGGATGTTTGCAGAATGGTGTGATGCAAGTGTCTTAACTTTTGCTTTCCTTCCTCAGCCCCTTTCTAGGATGTGGCATGAGGAAGGGGTACCAATTGAAGCTAACAGCAGAGAAAGATGCTGAGCTAGGAAGTATAATATTGATGTATTTTATTGTTTGATTGGAGATTTCCTGGAAACTTTGTAAAGTTCCTACAACTCTGAATTTTAAGTAAAAACTTTCATTCTTAAACTTTGGCCAGTGGTCTGCAAAAACAGCCAGTTCCTGGCTGTGTGATGCAGGGAATCTTGAAACCAGAGTATCAGGTGGATGCCTAGGACTGAGAAGGGGTTCCACAGGGGTGAATTGGTTTGAGAGCTGATCTCGACTGAGCAAAACAGCAGCATGCAGCTGAGGGGCAGGGAGCCTGCCTGAACTGAGGGCCATGAAATGTCACCTCCATTTTGAAGCTGGCTGGGAATGTTCATCAACGAGAATGTTCAGACACATTTTCAGTCTCACTGTTTTTTACTTTACATACTGCTGTTCCCTGTCTTCCAGTCCTTCCAAGTGCTGATGTGCAAAGGCAACTACTAGGCAATAGTGTGGGTTTTGGTTGTTATACTAACATTTTATTAATACTTGGAATTGTGTGAATATTTTAGTTCACAGGTAGACTGGTGGCTGTCAGACCACCTGTGCTTTAGTAGCTCTTGGATTTAACTATCAGCATATATCTACATTATGGGACTTAGTTTGCTCTTAAAAACTCTGATGTGCTAAAAAACCTCTGGGTGTGGATCCCTGACTCCTTGTGCCAGAGAGCCTCTACTCCAGGAGCAATTTTGTAACCTTAGTGAATTTCTCACTACTGGGGACTTTCCTGGCTGGCATTTAAATGCATAACAGACTTGAGGTGAAGAAAACTTGAATTTCCTGCAGGTTGGTTATGGTTGGTTCCCTGCTATGTGTTACTCTAGGCAGTGAGAATAAACTCTGACTGCTTTCAGAGTGCTCTGCTGCTGAGCCTAAATTTCTCTTCCGAACTTTGAAAAGAGAGAATGTGCTTCTGTAGTGTTAAATAGTCATTGTCTTGCTAGTGAGGTTTAACAAAATTTAGCAAACCTGGCTAAATGGGAGTTAGAGCTATCTCTAAAGAAGCCGAAATGCAAGTCACTGCAAGTGGCAAGCTGTGACTGGAATCATAAACAGATGCTCCAGAATATTTACTGCAATATAACTGAGAGAATCACAAAACCAACAGTGAGCTTTCTCAGTGGTGGCGCTGGGTGGTTGCACGTAGTGTTTAGGAAGAGAGAGTTGTTGCAAATTTAGGTTCTTGGTTGGACAGCTGTAATGACCTCTTAGTGCTGTGCCAGCTCCAGCGCTGTCGCATGGTGCCACGCAGGCATCTGCTCACAGTAGGCAGGGCAGTATCATCAGGACTAGTGAGGAAATTCTGGTTTTGAGTTCTACAAACCATGTTGGTGACCGTTACCTCAGCGAAGGAAGTGTGCTCCAGCACATGGATGCCCAGTGTCTGATTTCTAAGGAAAAGCACTGCTTGCCCATGGTATGGATATGACACCTTGCTGTCCAAGCCGAGGGCAGCAGGGCAGCAGCAGCTGCTGCCTTTCTGAGCCTGCTCGGGCTGCCCTGGCCCTGCAGGGGATGCAGCTGGGCCCGCACGCTGCTCCTGGCTCCGGTGCAGTCCTGAGCTCCGGCTGTGGCACGTGGGGGCTCTGGCACAGAGCTGTGAACAGTCAAGCGCTAGGAGAGGATGATTCCTCTTCACATGCTGTCATCGGGCTTTCCCCACGCTGGAGCCAGACCAGACGGGGAAGTGAAGTCATCAGACAACAAAAGGCTGGAGCAGCGAGTGCCTGGGGTGGTTTACTAACTTTCCTCTGAGGTGTACTGTTTTGAGCTGCCTCTGATTCATTGTTTCTTGCTCAGTTGAGCTCAGCCCTTCCTGTAAAACTCCCTGCCTGGGAAACCCAGGGATACCCTCGTGCATACCCCACTCCTGTTTTTCCTGGAGAAGGGATAGTTGTCCAGCTCAGTGTGATGCAGCTGTGGCAGGCAGGAAGGCAGCAGGCTGCTCCCCAGACCCTCTCTGGGCAGCCCTGCCTCGCTGCTGCCTCAAAGCAGCGTTCCCTTGTGTGCAAGGATTTTCTCAGTCCCTGCAGCCCACACTTGCATCATCTACTACCCAGCCTTTGCCACCAGGCTGGAAGGGAGCACAGTGGGCTGATCCAGTGGGTCCCTGATACTGGAGAAGAGGTGAATGCAAAGCACCTCTGCATACAGTGGCTGAAGGGTTTGGTTCCGCTCTCTTGGCTCCTGATGGAGGTGCAGAGTCATGGTTAAGAGCCCTGCATGCTATCCAGACCTCCAAGTCAAGGACCTGCTTCCAGGACCAGATCCTGGCTGGGAGTGCTTGGGTACCTCACTGCCAGGCCAGCCCAGTCATAGCTCCCTCTGTCCCTTCAAATGCTTGCTGCTGTAGCAGTTGCTCCTCTTCTCTCTGTTTAGGAAATCCTGGAGCAGTGGGAGCTCTGACCTACCCTGTACCATGCCATGGGACTATTCATCATGTTTCCAGCTTGATATCACTACAAATGCCATTCTCCTTTGCTTGTTGGGATTTCAAGCCAGAGTCCCAAAAGCACAGAACTGAATGAGCTGCTGCCACAAACACTGGCAGCTCTGCCTGTTTCACAGCCACTGCAGCAAGCACTTCCAAGCCACCAGCACACATGTCCTTTCCTTGTGTCCCTGGTGTCCTGGTCCTTTCCATCCCACCACCTCTGCCCCAAGAGACCAGAAACTGCAGGAGGACCCTTGTCACTGTTTGCAGAGGGCAGCGAGCTTGGGCAGCTGCCTGTGAAATACAGTTCAGTCCTCCAATGCACAGCAGTAAGATCAGAGCCTGCACCTCAGCTCTTCCCTATCCTGATGTCAAAGGGAAGTAGGGTGATGGCAGATGTGCTTGGAGAAGGCCCCCAGCGGTGCTCTATGGGTCAGGAGTGCATGCAGCTGCTGGCTGCAAGGCAGGAGCTCTGGGAGCCTCTGCCTGATGTTACTGAGCATTGGCTGTGTCTTCTCTAGGCCTCCAACCAGCACAGCTTGCCTAGGGCTGCTGATTTGGCAGCCCTGATAATATCAGAGCATTTCCTAGGGATGTCAGAATAGCTGAGAGGAGACACAACCCAAGGCATGTTCCCACCAGACAAGGCCATGAGTTTACAACTCACAGTGAGCAAAGGGCCGAAGCTCCTGCTTTGTCCCAGCCAGGGACAAACTAGTGAGGTGTTATGCCTCCATTTTTATAGCCAAAATCTGGGTTTATACTCACCTGTGGGTATTTGTGGGTGGATAAGCCCTGGTATATTCTCTTACTTGGGCCAAGGGTGGGAACTTCTGTTCCAGCAGCACCCGGACCCATCCACCAGTGGGCTCAGCCCGTGGGCAATTGCTGCTGTAGGACTGGCATGCCAGACTTCCAGCTGTGCCTTTGTGTCTCTGCATGGAAAAAGCTCAGGGCAGAGAGCCAGTGATGGCTGGCAGCAGCTCTGCAGTCTGCTGCTCACTCCTCTGCTGGCTTCTCCTGGGGAGAAATGAGGCCCCCTTCTCCCTTGGTGTGTTGGGAAGAGGTCCCTGGGACACTTGGTGGTGCCAGAGGTGGCTTTACAGGGATGGAGCTGATCCAGGAAGCATTTCTCAGTGTATGAGCCCCATGCCATCACCTCCCGCTCCAGCTGCTCCTTCCCTTTCACAGGCAGCCGGACAAGCTCCTTCCGCTTCGGATTATCTCTGCAGGCGGACTTGGCCGCGGCCCCGCATTCCTTCCAGCCTAGCGCTGCCCTGAGCCTGGGCCAAGCCCTGCGTGCTGCTGCTATCGCTGGGGCCAGGGCTGGGCCTGGAGGAGACGGTTCTGCTGGTGGGGTGAGCCCCACTGGAGCTCGGGTGCCGTGTCCCGTGAGCTGCAGGAGGCCTGCGGTGGGCCTGGCGCTGCTGCCTGGACGGAGGTTCAGCCCGATGGCCGTCCCTGCCGACCGTCCTCGATGGACCAAAGCTGCTGCTGCTCCCCCCGGGTTCCCACTTTGCAAAAGCACTTTCCCAGGGAAGGCAGGGTATATTCCCTTCCCTTGGGACAGATGATGGCATGAGCAGTGAGGCAGCCCTGGGCCTGCATTCCGCAAGCAGGGAGGGAAATGTCGCTATGGCTGGATCACTGGCCCTATGGAGGAACTCTTTCATTTGGCTCCTCAAAGGATTAGGGTGGGCCTGTGGTGAGGCAGGGGCTGCTGCTGCTTCTCTGAGGGTGGAGCACCCCAGCAGCACTCCCTGAGGGATTAATGCCCCTTCCTTCACCCCTCCGCTGTGGTGTGAACCTGTGGGTCCTGCTGCAGGGCTCAGGCCGAGGGGTGTTGGCTGTGCTGGAACACGGGGAGGATTCCCTCTGCGGCCCCCAGCCCAGCCCTCCACCCTGCTCCTCCGCTTCAGCACTGCTTGGCCTGGTGCCTGCGACCAGCTGGTCTCTGCGTGCATAGGGGCCACCAGGGTGGGGGGTTCAAGCGGGGTGGGCACTTTGCAGCAGCACAGAGTAACTGGGGGGGTCCCAGCACTGCGCTGAGGGAGCAGCAGCCATGGGCAGGGCCCACCCTGCCCAGGTGCCAGCTCAGGCACGGCTGGAGGTGTGCAGGAGCAGGGGCTGAGGGGGGAGCTGCGTCTGCACGGCGTGGGTGAGCACGCTCAGCTGCTTGGCAGATGAACAATGTGCTCTCCCAGCCAAGCCCACAAGCTGCTAATTTTAGCGATTACATGAATTTTTCCAAGCAGTCTCGAGTCCCTCGGTGATTCAGAGCCACTCAGCTTTGCTGCATCCACCACCCTGGCTGTGGGGATATGCTGGAGATGTGCCAGCAGGGACAGACAGACACGGGACTGTCCTGCTGTCCTGTAGCAAGGCAGACAGCTCCAGCAATAAGACGCTGCTGTTCTGTGGCACCTTGAAGGTGCAGGGATACAACAGTGGTTCCACACTGTCCAGGGCTTGGTCGGGGGGCCTCTGGTTGGTGCAGCTGGAGGTGGCAAAGGTTCAGGCAATGCTGAACCTGGGGCTTTCCAGCAGCATGAGACCCACTCCATCCAGCTCCGTGTGAGTTCCTGGCTATGTGGAATGGCCTCTCCCTGCAAAATGCTAATCTCACCCTCAGTCACAGCCATGGGCTGTCTCAGAAGCTGCCTCTCCCCTCCAGATGTGCAGGGTGGGTATGGGCTGCTGTCCCAAGCAGGGTGAGGGTGCTCTCACACCCTCTGTTCCTCTCCCTTGTAAGTAGCCTGGGGCAACCTTCCATGTGCTCACCTCTGGGAGTGGCTGCTGAAGTGGCTCAGCGTGTGCCATCTGTTACTCAGCCCTGCTTTATTTTTAGCGATGTCTTGAAAACAATCATCTTTTCCGGCCGGAAGCCAGAGGCAGTTTCCTGAGGCCTGGGTAGAGGCAGGAGGGTTTTTGTCAGGGCTGTTACCTGGACTGCTCGGAAACTTTGCATGGTGGTAGGGACCATAATCTGATGACCACCCCCCAACTCTGCTGGGGTAGGTGTTTGAGATGCCCATCACTGCATCCCGGTCTGCCCTGCAGCAGCACTGCTTGGAAGGAGGCGAGTCCCCCATTCCTCTGAGGAGCTGGACTTGGGGCAGTGGTTTATCGGAAATGCTGAGGTTTGGTTTCTGTGTTGCCTTGCTGAAAAGCCGTGAGCCTCTGGATGAGTCAGAGTAGGCAGAAGCCCAGCAGCACTGGCAGTGGGCAGACAGAGCCACGATAAGGCTGTGAGAGCCCTGCTCGCATGCCAGACCTGCCCAGTGCCTGACCTCCAGCTACACTGCTGTCCCAGAAGTGGGGAATTGTTTTGGGAAATGTGGTTCTGGGAAACCGCTGTGTCACTAGAGTGTGAACTAGAGTACATGATGGGTGGTGTTTTCAAAATGCCCATTCCGTGCCCAAATGCCTGGGGTTTGCCCCATAGCAGGCAGGAAGCATGGCCAGGGGTAGTTTCAGCCTCCACACTCACTTTCCAGTTGTAGGGATCCACATCCAGCATGTGCTATGGCAGATGGGCCTCCCATGTGATGTGACATCATGGTGGCCGTGGCCTCCAGCTGAGGTCCCACTCCCTACCACGTTCCCACGATCCCTGTCTCCTTCCTTTGAGACTGTCTGGGAACTCTGCTCTCCATCCCTGCAGTTTGCTGTTTGTCCTGCTCTGGTCCCCTCTCTGAGCAGGGCAGCTGTCCCTTCCACTGCCCTGCACGCTCCCAGCCCTCCCAGCATGACACACTTCCTCCCCCTTCTCCGGCAGCAGCCCCACGCTGTTCCCATCCTGAGCAGCTCCTCGGTGCCACTGGAGCCTGAGCAGAGGCTGCTGCAACCGGCGGAGGGGTGGGACGGATGAGAGGCAGGCAGGGAAGTTCCAGCTGCCCCGTGCTTAGCAAGGGCTGCAGTGGCTCTCCAGGAAGCCCCAAGGGGCCACGTAAGGCTGAGTGTCCTTAGCTGCTTCCTCCCGAATATCCGTTCCCGGTAGCTGCTGGACTGGGACTGCCCGGAGGAGGTGGGCAAGGTGGGGAGACCTGGGCTGGGTGATGGGACCACAGTTCTCCCTTCCTGGCAGTGCTGCTTGTGGTGGCCATAGGACAGAGCCCTCAGTGGGTGCTCATGGGTTGGTGCCCCCTTGGCACCTGTGGCTGTGGGGGGAATGAGAGCTGTGACCTGGGCAGGGTCAGTGTGCCAGGGGTCTGCCTGCACTGATGGCCCTGGGCTGGGGCACAGCCAGAGGTCCTGGCACTTACAGGAGCCATAGACAGGGAAACAAGAGCTGTGCCTGTGCCAAGGAAGTGCCGTGGAGCAGCCCTGGTGTGAACTCGTGCCAGGGAAGGACAGGGTTGTGCCTAGGGGTCTGGCTTTGCTTGTCTGCCCCCATGGGTCAGTGACTGTGTCCCACTGGGGACTAGGGGTGCTCCGAGGGACAAGCCACTGCCTGGGCACTGGCTGACATGAGCAGCATGTTCACAGGGCCCTCTGCTTGTCTGCTTACAAGAGCACTGGGGTTCAGGAGGGGGAAACCCAAAACTCATCCTTGAAATGCTTGCTCTGCTGAGGAAACAGGAGTTGGAAGCAGCTCTGCTCCAGCGCTTTCCCTAACCCCGCCACTGCCCCTGTGCTGATTCATTGATTTGGACGGGTTATATACTGGGAGGGGAAGAATGAACCACACTCTGCTCTCTTGCCAGCACGGAGCTGTGCTCACTCGGTGCTCGTGGCTGCAGGACACTCGGGTAAGTCTCCTTCTCCTGTTGCCCCTCTGAGTGGACATGGATTCCAGGGACTCCCAGGGCAGCTCTGAGGGTTGGTGGTGGAGTGATGGGATCTGCACATTCAGCACCTTTTTATTTGATGGAGATGTTTGTCTTGCAAGGGTTCTCCGAAAACCTCTGAAACTTTGATGCTGTGGGAGCTGAAAGAGTTACATAGGCGATGTATTCCAGACAATGATCAAGAGAGAAAATTAAAGGGGGCAAAGTAACGTTTTGGGGGGACTGATGTTAGGAGCAATGAGATGCTGAGGGGCTGAGCAGCAGACAATGTTCAGCCTCTTAGTCTGTAAGTTTTTTATCCCTAGAAGAAAAAGAGATATCAGCTGTTTTCAGCTGCCTTTCCTGAAGGTTGCTCCAGTGTGGGTGCTCTCACTGCTGCCTTACCAGGGAGGGACATGAGCAGGGCTTTTGATGTGCTGAGCTTTTGGGGAAGTTTATAAATATCTTGCTATAAACATAGCTGTTCTTGGATGCAGATTGTTTCCATATGAGAAACACAAACCACGCTGGCTTGTGGAGGGAGGGTTCCTCCCTCCCTGCCTGAGAGCAAGAGTGTTCCCTGTGGGGAGGGCAGGGAAGAGGGCAGGGGCTGTGCCCCAATACCCTGGGTGCCAGCTGGGGCACTGTGACCAGACCCCTGTGCTGCCTGAGTTGCCTGTCTGGCTGAGCTGTGCTCAGAGCAGGAGCTGCAGATTTTCTCGTCCCTTGTGCCACATGAAGCTGTTAATGGGGAGCTGCTCCATGCCAGCCTGGCACAAGGCTGCTGCTTTAATCTAGGGAGGGAGGAAGCTCACAGGCCAGAGGAGAGAGGAGAAGGTGTCCGTGGTATCTGTGCTGGTGGGGTAATGGAGAGCTCTGCTGGGCACCACCCTTGACACCAGCCTGCATACACGTGCCCACAGCAGACACCCCACTCATGGCAAAAAAAGGCCAGGCTGAGACCTCGCTGGGAATGGGGGAACACAGGGCCAGCCTGTACCCAGCCTGTGATGGGGAGCTGGCAAGGGTCCTGTTGACCCAGGCTCCTGCAGGACTGGGGATGAAGCATCCCTAGGCACAGCTCTTGGCTTTGCAACAGGAGCTCAGAGCTCAGAGGGTGCTGGGGGTGCTGGGGCAATGCTGGAACCCACTGCAGGTGCCACGAGCCAGCTCTGGTGAAGGTCTGGGCTCTTTGGTGGTGCTGGCAGGCCAGCGCTGCTGGTAGCAGGTCACCACACTCTGTAAAACAGGAAACCACACTCCCGGCTGCCAGAGGAGCCAAGAGAGCTGGGACGCCAGGCATGCCACTAATAGCTGTGGTACGGCAGCCAGGCATTGTGGCTTCAAACTCTGTCTTGCTCTGAGCTCCTGCCTGGGCTGAGTCAAACCTTGCCTGCCCCAAGCCTCCCTTGTCTGCCCTTTTCTGCCTTGTTGCCATGCTAGAGGCAGTATGGTCACAGCCTTGTAGGCTTTTTCCAGGGGGAAAGAAGCACCCACCCCTTGCAGTGCTCTGGGAGCTGGGAAATTGCAGGGGTTGAACCCCTCTCCTTTGTTTTTGTGCAGGCCCAATGGAGCAGGGAGGCTGGCAGCCGTGGCTGCTGCTGCTGGTGGGCATCCAGCTGGCCAGTAGCCAGTGCCCAGAGCAGTGCCAGTGTGTCCGCAGTGCCCAGGTGGAGTGCTTTGGTGCCGATATCACCATGGTGCCTAGCCCCATCCCTGCCAACGCCATGACCCTGCAGATCATCAACACGCGCATCGCCGAGCTGGGCGACGCCGCCTTCGGCAACGCCTCCCTGCTGATCGGGCTGCGCGTCGAGAAGAACATCCTGTCCCGCATCAGCCCGGGGGCCTTCCAGAACCTGCCCGACCTGCGCTACCTCAGCCTGGCCAGCAACAAGCTGCAGGAGCTCCCTGTGCAGGTCTTTGAGCCTCTGGACAAGCTGGAGTCTCTGCTCCTCTCCAGCAACCAGATCCTCCAGGTCGAGCCTTCCCACTTCGCCCATCTGAGCAACCTCAAGGAGCTGCAGCTGCACGGGAACAACCTGAAGGAGCTGCAGGAGGGGGTGTTTGACCAGCTGACCAGCCTCACCAAGCTCAACCTGGCCAGGAACAACATCGACCGCCTGCCGCCCCGGGCCTTCGAGCGGCTGGCACGGCTGCAGGTACTGAGGCTCTACGAGAACCGGCTCAGGCACATCCCGGTGGGCACCTTTGATGGGCTGCCAGAGCTGCAGGAGCTGGGGCTGCACCAGAACCAGCTGGAGACGCTGTCCCCGGAGCTCTTTGTGCACAACACCAACCTGCAGAAGCTCTACCTGTCCAACAACTTCCTCACCACTCTGCCGAGCGGCGTCTTCCTGCCCCTGCATGCTCTCGCCAAGATCACCCTGCACGTCAACCGCCTGCGGGACATCTCCCCCAGTGCCTTTGGGCCCATGCCCAACCTACAGGAGCTCTGGCTTTATGAGAATGAGCTCTCCACCCTCCCCACTGCCGTCTTCAGCAACCTCACCCAGCTGCAGCTCCTGGTTCTCAGCAAGAACCGGCTGCGGTCGGTGGCACCGGGGACATTCCAGGGCTTGGGGGAGCTGCTGGAGCTGTCGCTGCACTCCAATGCCCTGCGCCGCCTGGATGCCCGGGCACTGGAGGGGATGCCCAAGCTGCAGAACATCTCTCTGCACCATAACCAGCTGCAGGCACTGCCACGGGGCCTCTTCAAGGCCACCCCTGGGCTGCGGCACCTGCAGCTGCACTCCAATGCCCTGGAGTTCCTGCCCGCTGGTGTCTTCTCCCCGCTGACTGCCCTGCGAGAGGTGAGGCTGCACAACAACTCCTGGCGCTGCGACAAGGGCATCCTGCCCCTGCAGGGCTGGCTGGAGGAGAACCCTCACAAGGTGGGTGAGATCCCCCCGCTGTGTGCCCAGCCTCCCGCCCTGCAGGGCATCCCCATTGCCGGGCTGACACAGGATCAGCTCCTCGACCCCCAGGCCCCCACTGCTGCTCCTCATCCCAGCACCCTGCTCCCTGCTGACACCTCTGAGGCAGCATCAGATGATGCCTCAGCAGCAGAAGATGCCTCAATGGAACCCCCCACAGGGCTGCCAGCCTCCCCACAGGAGGATGAGGAGGAGAAGAAGGAGGAAGAAGAGAGGGGGCAGTGGGGGCTGACACGCCTACAGAGTGGCGTGGTGGTAGCAGTCATCGTGCTGGTGTGTGTGGCCCTGCTGGCTGCTCTGGTGGCACTGGTGGTCTATGGATGTAGGAAGAAGAGCCATGTTGTGCTCATGAGGATGAAGGCTCCGAATGAAGCCTGAGTATCTGGCAGACCCTGAGGGCAGAGCTGCTTGTGGGGTCAAAGGACATGACAGTGGCTCTGCATCAGCTGCCCTTGCTGACTGGGATGGGACAACATCACCGTGTGTGCTGTGTGTACCACTGTCCTGCTCTGCTTTGCCCTGCCCCTGCTCTGCAGCAGGGCCTTCCCACCAAGTGACCTCCCATGGCTGCCCACTATCCCCAGCCCTTCCTGCCTCCAGTGCAGCCTCTGTGCTCATTCCCTGCCCCGGGTCCAGCAGCTGAGGTGTGGGATGCAGAGAGGGACCCCTCGAGCCAGGAGCCACAGCCTGGCCATGATGGTGCTTTACCCCAAATAACAGGATTTCTCCATCCTTCACCTCGCCTCATTCCTTGCAGTGCTGCTGCCCTCACGCTGCCTGCTGCCCTCACCCCTGCCCAGCCCCTCTTCCCCACCTTCTGGCCCCTCCATGCCTCCCCCTTGGCCCTGCCTGGGCAGGCAGTGTGAGCCATCGTGCTGGGCCAGGAGCCGGGCGAGCACCTTCGCCCCGGGGGAGCTGCACGGCCCCTGCTGCTCCGTCACTCACTGTGCCTGGGCAGGGCTGCCCGTGGGGCTGCGTTGCTGCCAGGCTGGCACACCCTGAGTGTCTCAGCTGCGTCCCAGTTGCCCTCCCTGCCTGCTGGCAGGGCAGGCCAATGCACAGCCAGCACCCTCTCCTGCTCCCAGCATCTGCCTGCTTCCCTCGTGCACCTCCAGCCAGGACAGCCAGGGGACAGTGTGCTGGCATCAGGGATGGGCAGGAGCAGCGCCCCAGCCCTCACTGCTGACCCTGCTGTGGCTGTGGCCCTGCCTGCAGCGCCCTGCCTCAGCCCCACAGGGTGCTTGCACTGTGAGGGCAGAGGAGTGGCACAATGGGTGTGAAGGTTCTGCAGGGGCTGGGAGAAGCTCTTGTGCTTGTGCTCCTGGACTGCTGGAGCATGTTGGGGCTGCCTCTGCTGCACCCCATTCCTGGTCCTCATTTCCTTAACACCCTCCACAAGCTAGTGAGCAACCTGGTCCTGCTCTGCTTGACAAAGCTTCTTCATCCTCTTCTTACACCCTTGAGTGCCCTCCTGTGTGTGCCCAGTGCCCCTGCTGGGTGGCAGCCCTTGGCCAGGGGGATGCTGGCAGCACAGAGTGCTGGCTGCTCTGCAGTTTGCAAATGGGTGCCACACCATCCCCCCTGCATCCAGCTGCCTTCTCCAGCTGTAGCATGCCCATGGGGAGATTGAGCTCCCCTCCATGCGTGCTGCAGTGGCACCAGCCTGCCTGAGGACTGCTGCTGTGGGACAAGGTGCGTGTTTGGTGTCCACACACCTCAGCAGCCAGTGCTGGTGCAAACAGCTCCACCATGCAAGCTGGTGCATGTGATGGGTCACCCCTCTGGGCAGAGTCCTGCATGGCAGCAGGAGACTCATGACTGTGTCACGGGGCTGTTGGGTGCTGATGTGTGACCTTCTCATTAAAGTGCCACTGTCCACTCCGAGTGCCAAGAGCTGTTTATTCACTCCTTTATGGTGGGAAGCACGGGAATGGCCCAGCAGGGACAGGGGCTGCACTTGATTTCCGCTCCTCAGAGATTTTTACAGCATTGAGGAAAAGCCTGTACGAGCTGGTAAGGCTGGGAGAGGGTTAGTGGGCTGTGTTTGCAGAGGCCTTGCTGGTCCCTGGATGCCAGCCTGGGATGAAGGACCAAGGAGGGCTAAGCCATACAACAGCAGTGGGTGGGTTTTTGGAGAGTGAGCTGAGACCTCAGCAAGCTTCTCAATGGAGACACTGTCTCCTGCACACTGCACTGCTGGGGTGGTGGGGAGCTTGCTTGGCTCCCTTCAGAGCTGGCTGCCTCTGGATTGTGTCAGCTGTCTTTTTCTATGTGTCACCATCTGCTCCATGAGACTGACTGAGTGCATCTCTCCTCCTGTCCCTGGGGGTGTCTCCATGGCTGCTGCCAGCCCAGCCCGTGCCAGCACAGGCCCTTGCAATGCAGCTTTTATGGCAGTGTGTGCTGCTCCTCTAGGCAGGTTGAAACTCCTAGAGAATTCAGCTGGCTGGGATGCAAAACCCCTGGTGACCACCATGATGGTCCCACAGCGGGCCCCTCCCCAAAGAACCATAAGGTTGGAAAAAAACCTCTAACCTCATGTACAACCTTCATCTGCCTTGCTAAGCTGCACCTGGTTGCTTCTCTCATGGCAGAGATATTCTGAGCACCATTTCCCAGTGAGATGTTATGAAGTTCTGGGGCTCTCTTAGGGGGCTTCTGGAAGCAAGTATGCTGACCTTGGTGTGGGACTGGAGCCACCTCTGAGGGCAGCACCCTGCCACCATCCCTGCAGCAGTGGATGTCCGGGGCCAGAACCCCACTTCCTTGCCAGGATGCTCACAGGCAGCTGCCTCTGGCCTCCCCTCGAGTCCCTCCGAGGCCGGGTTATTTTTCAAAGTGCTCCAAGGACACGGGTTGTTGTTGCTGATAAGCAGTGAGGGGCAGCTCCGCCCCAGCAGGAACAGCCAGTCCCTGGCCTCCCATCCGCCCAGAAAACACTGTCCCATCTCAGCAAGCAGCATCCTGCAAGTCTGCCACAGGTTCGGTGACTGTCCCCGTGATGCCACACTTGGTAAGTGGTGCCCACGCTGCTTGGGTAGTTTGGGGCCCTGGGATGGGTGGGAGCCTCTGTTGGCTCTGGTGAACACAGCGAGATGGAGAAAAGGAAATGCCAAGCCCAGTGCTGCTCTCAAGCGCCGGAATAAGTCCAGGAGAGCTCCACTGTAGGTGGGCATTGCTCTGGGGTGGGCAATATCCCCCATCACGAGGCTGCACTGGCATGTATCCCAGCTAGGGAGGGACTGGCAGAGGGCTGGGGGCTACTGCCTCAAAAAGTGTTTCTGTGCACTGGGAATAGGTGTTTGGTCAGGCTGAATAGCCCTGCAGCAGGTTGATGCTGCTCTGGTTCCTTGTGGAAAAAGAAGTACCCGACAGGCAATTAGAAATACAAGTGGTGCAGCCCACAGCTATTGGCACTGAGCTCCGAGCAGCCCTGCAGGGCTGTCCCCATCGCCCAGTGTGCGCAGCACAACCCTGCGTTTCACATATTCTCCTCCCTAGAACCTGGCTTTGTGCCTGTGGAGACATCTGATGAGGGTACAGGTTTCCCCCAGGACTTCCACAGACCCCCACAGGTCCCACCTCAGCTGCTGCTCTGCAGGATGTGGCTGCTCGCCACCTTTGGTGAGGGTGGCATCACCTCAGTTGTCACAGGGTGGGCTGGGGCACAGAGTAAAAACCCTGGGGAGACATCTGGGAGGGAAGTGCTCACAGTTCTTGCAAGGGGAGTGCTGGGGAGGTGCTGGCAGCAGGGGCTGGAGGGATGCCCATGGCCAGGGCAGCTGCCTATGCTGGTGGTGTCTCAGAGGTCGATCTAGATCCTGCTGCATTTCTGGCTGCAGAAGCCCTTTCCCCAGCAGTGCCTGCCTGTGGGTGCATGGGCTAAGGCTTGGTTCCTTCTCCAGTGCAGGCTGGTGATCTGCGTGTTGCTGGGGCTGGGGTCCCTGCTGGTGGGGGCATTGTCCCCATCCTGCCCCCCTACCTGCCAGTGCTATGACACCTCCAAAGTCTTCTGCTCGAATGAGAGGATGCGGGAGATCCCCGAGGGCCTGCCAGGAAGTGCCACCCACCTCTTCTTCGTGGGAACAGACCTGGGCAGCATCCACAGCGGGGACTTGGGCTCCAGCACCACGCTCACCAAGCTGGTCTTCATCAATAACAACATCCAGGAGCTGGAGCCTGGTGCCTTTCAGGGGCTGCCCAGCCTCACTGAGCTAGAGGTGTCAGGCAACCCCTTGCCAGCTGTCAGCCTCGGGATGCTGGCAGGGTTGGCCAGCCTCAGCAAGCTCTCCCTCAGTGCCAACACCATCCGCACCCTGCAGCCGGGGCTCTTCACTGCCTCTTGCCGCCTGCAGGACCTCAGCTTGTCAGGGAACAGGATTGAGGCACTGCCCCCAGGCATCTTCCGCCCTCTCCGGAGGCTCCAAGCCCTGGACCTCTCACAGAATGCTCTGGCTGAGCTGCCAGAAGGGCTGCTGGCCCCACTTGTCGCCCTTCGTGTCCTCAAGCTCAGTGACAACCTGCTGGCACGGGTGCCTCCAGGTGCTTTCAGGGCGCTTGGCCAGCTGACTGAGCTGCGCCTGGATGGCAACCGGCTGGAGGAGCTGCCCCCGGGCATCTTCTCCGGGCTGGGGGCGCTGCGGCGGCTGCAGCTGCAGCACAATGCCCTGGGCAGCCTGGCCCCTGACATCTTCACAGGTCTCCTCAACCTCACCGTCCTCAGCCTGGAGGGCAACAAGCTGGCCGCTGTGCCTGCCATCCTGTTCACTGGCACCCCTGGCCTCCTCCACCTCTCGCTGGCTCGCAACCAGCTGGAGACACTGCCCCGGGAGCTCTTTGCTAACCTGTCAGTGCTGGAAACCCTGGATCTCTCACACAATGCCATAGATCACCTGCCCACCGGGGTTTTCCAGGGGCTGGCAGGGCTGACAGAGCTACAGCTGAGCCACAACAACCTCTCCAGACTGCCGGCGAGGCTGCTGGCCGGGCTGCCCCTCCTCACCGTCCTGCTGCTGGACCACAACCGCCTGGCCCGCCTGCCCCCGGGGCTCTTCGATGCCAACGACGAACTGGTGCGTGTGGGGCTGGCTGACAACCCCTGGGGCTGTGACTGCCACCTCTCCTACCTCCTGCGCTGGCTCCAGAGCTTTGCTGAGCCTCTCATCCACAACCAAGCCTTCTGTGCCAATCCGGCTGCTCTCCAGGGCCAGTCCCTGCTGGAGGTCTCCCGCGGGCAGCTGGAATGCCCAGGGGCGCACGGTGTCCCCCCGGAGGAAGGCTGGGACACTGATGCTCCGGGTCAGTGCACCTACACCGACGCCGAGGGCACCGTGAGCGTGGCCTGCAATGCCACAGCCTGCCAGCAGCTCAGCCTTCGCCTCCCGCCGCCCGGGCACGGGCAGGGCTCGGGGTACCGGCGTGCCTGGGTGCTGCGCTCCCGCTGTGGCACGCTGCAGCTCAGTGTCCTTGTCGCAGCACACAGTGGCAGCGATGCCACATCCCCGACTCTGCCCCTGGTGCCCTAAGGCTTGGACAGGCGTTTGCTTCTGCTCTGGCAACCTCTGAACCAGCCTGGGAAACAAACAGCTCTCCCTCTGGCTCTGCTACCGCTGCTATGGTCCCCAGCTGTCACCGAGCCCTCTGCAACAGTTGGCCTGGTGGTATTTATCCTCTCAGCTTTGTGTTTCCTGTGTATTTCAAATATAATTAAAATGTATCTATTATTTCTGTGCTACTAGTTCCCATGGCAGAGAGAGGAATCGTTCTGTTCCCCACATCACTGTCTGTGTGTCTGGGAGAGGCAGTGAAGGTCGATGTGGTACTTTGGGATCTTGTCAGGAGCTGTACATGGCGTGGCATAGTGCAGGTGCCTGGTGGTGAGTAGGTGCCACTCTGGCATTCTCATGGTGTGCTCGTGTCTGCCCACTGCAGCCACCTTCCCTTGGCACTGCAGAGACAAGAGAGGCCCAGCTGCAGCCTGGCAAAGCCTGAGGACACGAATTTGTGTTGTCCAAGGGAGGTGTGGGTGAGTGCTGCTGGTGCCCAGCAAGGGCCATGAGCTGCTTGGCTGCAGGGTGAGCTCCAGCACAGGTGTGCACAGGCAGGTCCCACCCCTACTGTGTCAGGGCTTGGTCTACAGCCCTGAGCCTGAAAACAGAAAGTGGCAAGTTCCACATAAATGAGAGGAAGAACTTTGTGAGAGTGAGTGGAACAGGCTGCCCAGAGAGGTTGTAGTCTTCTCTGAATATACTCAAAAGCCATCTGAACAGAGCCATGGATACCCAGAGAACCCTACTTCAGCTGGGAGGTTGCACTAGATGACTTCCACTGGTCCCTTCCAACCTCTCCCATCCTGGGATTCTGATTCTGTGACCTGTGGAGATGAGGCACAAAGTCCCAGCAGTGCTGCCCACCTTGGGGGGACAGGTAAGGCGTGTGCTCCCCTGGGAGGGCGAGCGTGGCTGCACACCCGGGGCTGTAAGTGCACAGGTGTCTGTGTGTATGTCCATGTCAGAGTGTCCCTGTGTCTGTGACCTGTGTCAAGTCCCTGTGCGTGTCAGCCTAGGCCTGGCCGTGCGTGGCTGTCTGTCCCGCGAGTGTCTGTGGGTGTCCCTGAGCGTCCCCGAGTGTCCGAGTGTCCCGTGTCTGTCTGTCCCGCGAGTGTCTGTGGGTGTCCCCGAGTGTCCCCGAGTGTCCGAGTGTCCCGTGTCGGTCTGTCCGTGCACGGCGGTGCTGCGGCACCATCTCGTGGCCGTCGGGACCGGGCTCGGCGGGCCGGCAGAGCCGGGGGAGCGCCGGTGGGACACGGACGCAGAGGATGCTGACGTCGGGAAGGGGTAAGGCTGTGGAAAATGTGCAGTAGTTTGTTTTTAAATTTGCCAAGAAACGTGCAATGAAACCCAGCAAGCAGAAGCTGAGCTTTTACAGGAGCAGATGAAAATGGAAGAAGTTTAAATGCAATCAGTGCAGTTACCCGTTGGGAAGTAACACATATCCTGTCAGTTTGTCTTTGCCTCAAAATGAGCATCCCACAGGATGCCCTGCACTAGCCAGGGGCTCTGGAATCACCATGGCAGGGTTTTGGTTCGCACTGGGGTGCAGCACACAACACTAGGGTCAGCAAGGTGTGGAGCTGTGGGGCTGAGCACAGAGCCCGGGTGTTGTTGTATCTGTTGAGCCACAAATGTTTCATTGTTTATAAGCATTAAGAAAGGCTTCAGAACCGCATTTTTAGCTACATAAGGCAAATCCTGAGGAGTGAAACAGCTGTCTGTTGTGTCGATGGGGGTGGTGTTTGTGAAACTAGTGAGTTACCCTGCTGGAGATACGGGATCACAGAGATCACTGCCTGCAAACAGGCTGGTCTGGAGATCTTCAGCTTTCCCTGGATGTGACGAGTCAAGTGGTGCCAGCAGATAACGCCTGGGGAGTACGTGACTGCGTCCCCTCCAAGGGGTTTCTGCCGTGGCCTCCTGCACCGGGGGCACAGCTCCTCTGCTGGCTCCCTGGCCGTCCCTTATCTCCCCACACAGACTTGTGTCCTGACCTCACGTGAAACTGAGCCCGTGCCTGGGACATGGATAAAGAGCTGGCCAGGTGATGAGACCCCCATCCGGTGTCCTCACTCCTAGCACGGCATGGCTCCGGTGGCTGAACTCGTTTGCAAGTGCTCAGCCAAGTAAGTGGTGCAAAATGCTTCTTTTTGCTCTTTAAAATGTGCTGGGAGGGGCGGTGTGGAGGGCTGCTGGTTGTTTCCCTGCAGCAAGGAGCAGGGAAGGCTTCAGTGCCGTGAGCTGGGACCATCTCTCCATGACTCTGCCTGGCTGGAGTGGGGGACAAGCACGGGACCACAGTGAGGGTTTTTAAAGGGTTTTGGAGGTTTCAAAACTGTTTTAATCCCCATACACTCATGTTTCCACATTTCACCCACTGCACTGCCCCTGCAGCAGAAGTGAAGCAGCACTTCTACACCCTCAGCCCCAGCTCTTCCACCTGGGGAGAGGATGGGCAGGGATCAGCAGTGGCTTCTGCCCTGGGAGCCCTGGGGGGCAGCTGCACAACCAATGTCACCTCCCATCCATTTCTCTTCAAACCCAGCGGTTTTCATCTCCAGTATTTGCTGATGCCTCAACATTCTTTTAAAAATAACTTTTCATAGCAGATTTACCCTTCCAGAATAATTTTTTTTGCATGGCCAGATTTGATGGTCACCCAAGAAGAAACTCATACCTCTTTTACCTGCTCCCACCCAGGGCTGTGAATTAAAAGTTGGAAACATGGTCCCAGTGAGGTGCTCATGGCAGTTAAACCCCAGTTAATGTGTTAGCTGAGTGTTTCCAAATGTTTCCATGGAAGAAGTGGACTCTACTAGTAGGTGTGCATCAGTGATTTCACTTCCTACCTGCAAGGTCAGGACCCCAAATCTTAAGTGTTAAATAGTTCATCTGTGGACATTCCAAGGTTTTAATGAACCTTGCTTTAAAGCTTGGTTGCTGTCCACAGGTTAACTATTTCTGTCTGTCAGAGCTGCATGACCAAAACAAAAATATAGTACAATTAACAAGAATTCTAAAAAAGAGGTGCTTAGAAACCATGTTTTAAATCAGGCCCCTCAACTGAGAGAAGCAGCAATGAAATAGCAAGTATACCCAGCACAGTGTGGAAATTCTAAGCACACAAGGTCCTCTTGGCTGGCTCCTGGGAGCCTCGCTGATCCCTCATTAGCAAGTGCAGGACTGACTGCTTCTGTTGTTGCATGAATGGGCTGTTGCCCTGCTGACTAACTGGACCCACTGGGGCAGCACTAATGGGCAGCAGCACTTTGCCCTCTTCACCCAGGCAGACTGAGCCTACAGCTCAAACACGTGAGAGGAAGGGCCAGAGAACAGAGTGTCCAGCCCTTGTCCTCCTGGAGCATCTTGCTGGCATGCTTTCCCTCTCCATCCCTTGGTACCAACAGCAGTGAACTCGTGTAAATGCAGTGTATGTTTGCTTGTCCAGTCTCTCTTTCTCATGAAATGAGTCATGGTATGTGAATAGAAGAGTCCTGAGAGCTGAACAACAGTGTGACACCACAGTTCATGAGCTGTGGACAGGGATTTCTTGTTCTTCATAACTGATTTTTGAAACTTTTTTTCCAGGACAATGTACCAGCATTTCCTTTTCCTTTTCCTCCTCTCCTTCAATCCCCATAAATGCCAAGATCAAATCCTGGGAGAAGATCCATATGAAAAGCCCAAAGACTACCAGGAGGTCTACAGAGGGACAAAAAATGATGTCAAAGAGATCCCAAAGATTGCAAAGCCCTTTGTTTCTGAGATGATCTTTGTGCAAACCAGCATCACTTCTATAAATAAAGGTGCCTTCAGGTACATGCCTAACCTGATCAAGATTTTGTTCATTGGCAACAAGATCAAGACTGTTGAACCTGGAGCCTTTGATAATTTGGACAAGTTGAGGGACTTGGACATCTCTGGTGCCTCATTAGAAAAACTGTCTGTGGGCACTTTCCAAAACCTCCGAAGTTTACAGAGGCTGGAGCTGAGAGACAGTCAGCTCAGATCCATCCCCAAAGGCCTGTTTGATGGGCTGGAAAGTCTGGGAGAGCTCTCTCTGCACATCAATGCAATCTCTTCTCTTCCAGAAGGCATTTTTGATTCTCTTGTCAATCTAACTTTTTTGGACCTGTCTAGAAACAGGATCACAACTCTTCCTGTGAATGCCTTTAGCAAACTCACCCAGCTTCAAGTCCTCCGGCTGTATGAGAATGAGCTGCAGGACCTCCCAGAGGGACTGCTAGACAGTCAGCTGGAGCTGCTGGAGCTCAGCCTCCAGAGCAACAGGCTCAGGGCACTGCCACCCATGCTTCTGAGGAGCCTGCCTCACCTGGAGAAACTCCTCTTGGACAACAACCTCATCAGGGTTCTCCCACCTCAGGGCTTTTTTGGTTTAAACAAGCTGAAGCTGCTGACTCTGGGCTCAAACCATATTATGGAGCTCCCCTGCTGCCTTTTTGACACCATGCCACACTTGCGGGAGCTGGATCTGGGCAGGAACAGTTTGGCCACACTTCCAGAGGGCATCTTTGTCAACCTCACATCCCTTGGCAAAATCATCTTGTCCCACAACCAGCTATCAGCCCTGCCAAGAGGGGTCTTCACTGGGCTCAGCAAGCTCTTGGACCTCCAGCTGGACACAAATCAGCTCTTTGCTCTGGATGAAGAGGTCTTTGCTTCTCTCCCAAATCTGAAAACACTCAACCTTCGAAAGAACCAGCTGGAGAGTGTTCCCCAAGGGCTCCTAGACCCTCTGGAGAAGCTCAGCTCAGTGTATCTGAGTGGTAACCCATGGAGATGTGACTGCAACCTCTGCTACCTGCACTGCTGGATACTGGGCAACAAGGAGAAGGTCAAATTGTCCTTCCAAATCTCCTGCAAGAGCCCACCCCACCTGGCAGGGCAGGCAGTAACACTGCTGAGGGATGAACACCTGATTTGCCCAGGCACTCTGCCATTTAACCCCACACTGTCACAAAGGACGTCAACATTCCTGTCACGTGGAGCCGTGTCCACAGCAGCACCAGCCATGATGTCACTGGCATCCTTTCCCATCAGGACACTGCCAACCACTCTTTCACCTGCGGTCACCTCTGCTGTGATGCCAACCATGCCAATGGAGGCTGCCTTCACCACTCTGTCACCAGCCAAGCCATCTGAGGTCTTTGTCACCATCCCACCACCAGCTGTGCTGCAGAAGGCCTTCAGCACCAGCCCATCAACAACCAAAAAGCCCAAGACCTCCACCACCACACAATCAACAAACAGTGTGATGAAGTCCTTCATCACCACCCCATCACCAGCTGTGCTGCCAGAAACCTCCACCACCACTCCATCACCAACCACTGTGCCCGGGTCCTTCATCACCACACCATCACCAGCTGTGCTACCAAAAGCCTTCATCAGCACCTCATCATCAGCTGTGCTGCCAGACACTTCCATTACCACCTCATCACCAACCGTGCTGCCAAAGGCCTCCACTGCCACACCATCATCATCAGCTGAGATGCCCAATGCTTCCATCACCACCCCATCATCGGCTGTTTCATCCTCAGCCATCGTAAGGCTACAGTCTCCTGGGGCCACCCACCCAGAACCTGTGCCACCCACTCCAGCTTCTGCCACCACACGGGTGCCAACAAGCTCACTGGCAGCCACCACCAGACAAGAGCCTCCTGCTCTCTCAGTGCCCAGGGAGAGGCCAGCCACCATCCCACAGGGAGCACCCACACCCCCCCTTGTCTCAGCCTCCTCCATGGCCCTCTGGCCATTCCCCAGGACTGCTGCTCTGGGCACAGTCCCACTGGCCTCACATTCATCACCATCACATCATGCTCCTGCACCAGGCAGGGAATGGGGCTATTCCACCTTTGCCTTGTCCCAGCCCACCCCCAGTGCTCCCCAGCAGACTCCTGCCCCGTGGACCAGCCCATGGCAGTGCCAGGTGTCCCTGGCCTTGGGGCTGGCTGTGCTGGCACTGCAGGCAGCCTGCACACTGCTGGTCGCCTTCCTTCTTCACCAGGACACCCGCCACCACCCCGGCCCACCTGTCAGGCTGCTGAGCCTTCAGGCTCTGGCTGCTCCGGGGACCCCCGAGCCAACCCCGGCACCACCTTGAGCTTTGCTGTCCCTGCATGACCTGGGTGGTGCCAGCTCTCCTCCTTTGGGGTCTGCAGCCGTGCTGGCCGCCGGTGCGCTGACCCTGCCACGGGGGTCCCGGCACCCAGGCCGATCCCGGGGTAGGGGCTGGCAGCAGCCCAAAACCCCTGTTTTGGGATCCCGGCGATGCTGGGAGTGCGGTGTCCCCGCCTGACAGCCCTTCTGCCAAGGGACACTAGATGGCATCCCGACACAGGCAGCGGCCACCGAAACGCCGCAGCCTCCGCATCCGCCGGTCGGACCCGCCGCGCCGCGCACACGGCCCCGGCCGGGAGCCATGGAGGGTCAGGGGGTCAGGGGGGTCAGGGGGGTCAGGGGCCCCTTCCCGGATCTCCTCCCATCCCTGCAAGGTGCTTGCAGTCCTTGGAGAGAGATAGCACAAGGTTTCCTGCCCTGCAGCCCGTCTTCTTCCCTGTGCCACGTTACAGGATGTGTCAGTCACTGTACCAACGTCACACTCAGACCTCTTCCCCTTCTCCCTTTCCTCTTCCCTGATATTAAAGCTTCCTCTGCATGTCTGATGGGCTGGTGAGAAGACTGTTTTCATCCTGGGCTTTTCTTGCCGTGACCTGCTGTGGGGGATTCCTGTTGCTTGCTGGAGCGTGGGGCCCCCAGTCAGTGCTGGGGTAGGACCAGGGCTGGCCATCCACAGGCAGTGGCACTGTGAGACAATGGACAAGCTTTTCTTCCCACTCTTAAATCTCATGTCCTCCAAAACCCCTTTGTGGTGCTGCCTGCCCAGTCCCTCTGGAAGACTGATGTTTCAGCATGGCTGGCCATGTGCTTCTTTACCATAACCTCACCTGGTGCTGAGCCCTGGCTGCAGGATGGGAGCAAGTCTCTTGGGAAACTTGGCAGGAGGGGTTGATGAGAGCCTTCACCCCTGCAGTCATGGGCTCCTGCCAGGCCTAGGGAAGTGCCAAGCTTAAACAAAAGTAGCTGTTCCTCTGTGGTTTCTGCCATCACAGAAAGTGTTGAAACCTTTTCTGGGAAGCTTTCTTTCAGGAGAATTTGAGCTGATTAATATGGGGGTGTTTCCCTTGATTTGGGTCTCTACATACCTTTTTTTTCTCTAGGTTCAGTATTGATCTTGCCCTCTGCAAGGTAAGCTGCTCCCAGATTTGATCACAGTTTCTACAGGGGTGCAGGTGTCTGTCTTCAGCTCCTTGCCATTGCTGCTGGCGCCTGCTCCGTCTTGTCCTGGCTTCGGGTGTCCTTCCCCGATTGTGTGGCATAGGGGCTAACTGGCTTGGAGGTTTCCCAGGGGAGGTGTCCCTGAAAAGCAAAAGTCTGGATGTGTGTTTCACAAGGAAAAGTGGGAAAGCAACTCGGAAACCTCCTGGCCAGTGAGCCCTGAGCACCCCAGTTCCCCTGCCTGATGCAGGACCAGCAAGGGGGAAGGGGCTTTGTGCTGGAGTGCGTGCCTGCAGCTATGCATTAGGGACCTGGATATACATCCTTGCTAAGAACCTGTGCAGTGTTACAGGCCCTTCAGCTGCTCCTTGAAGTCCTGCTGACGGCTGTGAAATACGGGAGGCGAGCGGGGCAGCACATCTGGGCGGGATGGAGCGAGCGGCTCCGGGGCCAGGGCTGGCACAGCAGGTAATGAGATACAGATGAGGGGGAGGGAGTGTTTTTTCTGGCAATCCAGATGCACTCAGCTTAATACTTGATTTAGAGGGTTTGAAAGCGGGGGCTGGCTGCTGGGGAACAGACCCCGAGCACTTCCCGAGGTGATGAGGGTGGGGGTCTCTGCTGGCTTTTCAGATATTTAATGGCCCAGCGCAGTCTAAACAGGGAAGTACTTCGGGGTGAGATTAGCACAACATAATCACATCTTAAAAGGTCTTCAGAGACACAAGGCACGTCCGCTCTCATATTAATTACTGGTTATTAATAAAGCTGGGGTCAGGCACGAGGTGTTCGCTCCGGAGTGTGCCGGTTCCCTCTTTGCAGGGTGGTGCTGTATCCAAAAGCAGCACAAAGCCCTGCAGCCTCCACCTGTGCCATCCGGCTCTGGAAGCCAAATGGCCAGCATTCCTACAGCTGCTTTTAAAACTAATTTGGCCCATAATACCCCGAAAGGGCCGTATCTTTCTAAGTGCCCAGAACACCTCTAAGTGCTTCAGAGTGCTGTAAAATAATAACAGCCAAGGGTGTTCTCAGCACAGGAATTTGCTGCTATGATCGATTTGTAATTTGCAATGAAAATACAGCGAGCGTGTTCCCGGGGCCAGGCTGGTGCAGCTGGCTCTCAGGCACGACTCCGCTCCCTCCACCACTTTAGGGTCAATCCTTGGAGGGTTACAGCTGGGCTGGGAGGAATTAGCAGCTGCTCCCATTTGCCCCTGTTGGGGCCAACAGTGTACTCCAGGAGGGAAGGAGCTTAGAGGGATGCAGGGTGTCCTGGGGGCGATGTGCCTGAGCAGCCTGTGGGGCAGCACCCTGGGGTTTCCTCCTTGCTGAGCAAGACCAGCCAGGGAGCACATGGGGATGGGCAGAGCAGGGGGATCTGCACCAGGGAGATCAGTGTTTGCTGCTTCAGGGCTACAGCTCGCTGCAGTGAAGGTGTGGGGCTGGGGCAGTGCTGTGGAGTGCAGGGTCCCCAGCACACCCTCTCCACTCTGTTGAGTGCAGGGTCCCCAGCACACCCTCTCCACTCTGTGGAGTGCAGGAGCCCCAGCACACCCTCTCCACTCTGTGGAGTGCAGGGTCCCCAGCACACCCTCTCCACTCCGCTGTGGGCAGCCCAGGCATCCCTTTGCAGCATGCCACTGCACTGGGCAGTGGTTGATAGTTTCTAATCTCAGAATTTCTCTGGTTTCCCTGAATTCAGGTAAGATTTTAGCATTCACAGCACCATGTGCTGAGGACTGCCCAAGATTGCCGATGAACTAAACAAGACATCACCTTGCTTTGCTCTTCCTCTGCTTGCTGCTCCTTGCACAGGATGCCCCTGGTTCTTGCTTTGGGAAAAAAAACAAAAGTTGAGCATCCCCGTGTGGCATCTCCACGCTGCTCGTGACACTCTACACCTCTTCCCAGTTGCTGTGACTGCCTGAGTCCCTCACAGCCTCAGGTGACCAGCTGTTAGAAGCAGAGACAGGACACACCATACATGTGTGTCCTTGAATGGCGCTGGGACCATGGGTCTCCAGCATGGCCAGGGACTCCTGCAGCTGCTGCTGGCTCTCTTCCTGCCCTGTGCAGGTGAGAAGTGGGTCCCACTGCACTCTCACTCATGCTGCAGCACTGACTGTAGCCCTCTGCATGTTTCAGGAGAAACATGCCCTGCCGGCAGCCACCCATGCTGCGGGTGTGGTGGCCTGTCCCTGCCACCTGCCTCAGTTCCCTTTCCTGTCCCTGGGGCACCCCATGGGAAGGAAGGGGGCTCGCAAGCAAAACTCTTTATTGTGGCTCATGGGAAGGGAGGCAATGAACACCTGCAAGAGGGGATTTGCACAATAACCCACACAAGGAGCAAGCCTGGGCCTCTGCTGGGCAAGTCTCACTGCTGGCTTGTGATGGGAACCTGTCCCAGCTCGTGGCCACGCTGCCACAGCTTCCTCCCTGCACGCCTGCCTCATGTGCTGGTGCCAGACATGCACCAAGCTGTGCTGGGAGCAGTGTCTCAAGAGCTGCTGGTGTGGTTTGAGAAGCATGGGGAGCTGGGGGCTGACTGGTCTGTGTGCTGTGGGCAGAGGAAGAAGGAGCTGGTTTAACACTTGTTCCTGTAGGAGCAGGGAGATGCTGGCAATGCCACTGGAGAGGTGGGATGGGCAGGTTGAGGACACGATTTGGGGCAGGTCCCTGGCAGAGGAGGCAGCTGCTGGGATCCGCCTCATGCCCGGCTGCACAGGCACGTGCAGCACTCATCCATTCCCTACTGCACTCAGCAGAGATGGCCTGTGGGCTGCCAGTCATTGCTGCTGTGCTGCTGTGCCTTCTCGATGCTGGTGATGGTTTTGAACACCAGCACCACTCCTCTGTGTGTCCTCTGGGCAGTTTGTCTCTCCCTCTCCACACCCACTCACAGTACCCATCTGGCCAGCTCAGGCTGCCTCTTGCAAGGAGCCCTGTGAGACACACGGGACAAGAGCCGAACTGGGACATTCCTGCACTTGCTTTGCCCTTGGCATCTCACAGCCCTACTGCAGCAGGGGCCTGGCTTGCCCAGGGGCAGATGGGGCAGCAGGACACACAGATTAGGGACCAGGCTCAAGCAGATGAGGGGCTGACACCCCTGGCATTCTCATCCTGTCTGCCTCATGCCTTGGGCTGTCCAGGCTTTTATCCAGAGTTTGGGCAGGGCATGAGAGCAAGGGCAAGAAAAACAAGCTGGTGCATCCTCCCTTGGGCAGTGAGAGGGGCGGAAGTTCCTGTTTGTTTAAGGTGCAAACAAGTGCTGTTAATCTGCTGCCTGTTTGTATTTCTTTAGAGCCCCTGAGTGTGGGGGGAGCGGAGATGGGGTCTCCCCTTTGTGCGGGGGCAGGGTCAGGCTATTGGAAGTGGAGGTGAGAAAACACAGAGGGGCAGCTGGAACCTGCTTTGGGAGGGAAAGATTTTTTTCGGCTATTTATGATAATTAGTGGGAAACGTTCCTCAAGTGTTTCAGATGATTCTGTAATGAAGTTGGGTCGAATGTTTCTGCTTTGTTCCCCTGGAACCATTAAAAATCCCCCTTCTTTGGCTGCCTTAATGCAGTGCTGAAAAGGCACAATGGCATAAAAGTGGCTCTGGGCAGGGCGGCACGCCTCCCACCCCGCCAGATAGAGCCCTTCAGAGCCAGATTTTCTGGGCTATAAACCCCAGAACTTGTAATGTTCATGCAGGAGCTGCTGTGCATTCTGTGCCCAGCACTCCTTTCTATCCCTCTTGCTGGTCAGTGTGTGTGAGCACCACTGAGGCTGGTGTGCTCAGGGGAGCAATGGGCAGCACAAACACAGCAGAGCGACAAAGGACAGGCACAGCCAGAGATGCCATCACCCCACTGTTTACAGAAAAGCTACTTGCTGCCCGTGGTTGTGCTGAGAATTTGCTGGGGTGAAATGTTGTGCTGGGAGAGGACCAGTTTTCATTCAGGGGAAAATGAGGGGTACAGCCCAAAGGAAAGTCCTTCTGATTCTAGGCCAGATCCTGCCCCGTCTGCTGGAACCAGAGCAGAGCAAGAAATCCAGGCAGGAACCTCCAGCTGAATCATTAGCAGTCTGCAAGAGCTGGCTCAGTCTCCTCTTGCTTTTAGCAGTGGAAGGCTTTTCCAGTGTATGTGATGAAAAGAAAATCCACCTGCCTGATCTCACACATCTATCAGCACTATCTCCCCAGGGATGATGTGGAAAGCTAATGGGAGCTCTCTTGCTAAAGCTGTGATAAAAAGAGAAAATGGCAAGAGCTTTTAGCATACTGGTGGGGGCTGAATGTGATGGATTTTGGCCTCCCCATCAATATTCTCATGTGGACTCCAGTCAAGTTCAGTGTCCTAGGCTGAGCACAGGGCTGCAGCAGGCAGGGAGGAGCTGCTTCCCTCCTGCTCCACTTTTGGCTGGGCAAGGACAGCTGGGGAGTGCTTAGGCACCCAATGTGGGCATCTAGCATTGGCACAGTCCTGCAGCTCTGCAGGGCAGGAGGGAGCCATGCCTGCTGGCCAGGAACCTTCCCTCCCCAGTCACAGGCAGTTTCTTTCAGATAGTGACTGCTAACTGGGACCACATCACCCTTAATGTCCACCCCCTGCCCCGTGGCTGGAGCCAACATGCCCCACTAAGGTACTAAATCATCTGGTTGTGAAGGAGAGGTTAAGGACTAGGAGCATGGCTCCCCTGGAGCTGCCCCATCCCTCTGCCTTGCCTGCCCCTGCCATAATCAAGCAGTCCTATCAGTCCCTTCACTCCTTTCAATGGGGGAAAATTTGCAAACAAATTCCTGCCAGCAGGATTTTGAGCTCTCCTGTGTGGTGGGATAAAGATACCTGTCACCTCTGCCCTGTCCCCAACACCAGCTCATGCTGGGAGCACAGCTGGGGAGGTCCATGCTCTCCACAGGGCTGGTGACTCCAGGCACTGTGGGAATGGGCTGGGAAGGCTCTCAGGAAGTGCAGAAGGGCTTTAGTTTGCCTTGAGATAATGTATGGCTTGCAGAGATGGGCGATACAATGAGCCCTGCTGTGAATTAGCTGGAGTCTTTACCTCGGGTTTCTGTTCTGGCAGGTCCTGAAGCACCACTTGAATTATGATGCCTTTGCCAGTTCCCATGTTGGTGCCGCCAACCTTTATTGTGGAAAAATCTCAAGATACACAGTAAAGTTTCTGTGGGAGCTGAGGTAGAGGTCCTGGCACTGAGATGAGTATTTGGATGGTGTATGTCTGCAGGCAAGGGTAACGGGTCCTGGGCTAACTGCAGTGCGTTCGGTCTCGGAGATGCGGATTTCAGTGCAGGCTGCTGCCTGCACCACAATGAGCCTCCACACACAAATGGCTCTCTTGGCAAAGTTTGCAGTGGGAAACCAGCTGTCTTGGTGTATAGAAGTGATGATATGGAATGTGGCAGGCCCGTGGCTTGCTGAGCACATCACAGCTCTGGCCAAGACTCTGGCAAGCGTGTTTGATGGACCAGGTACCTCTGGTACCACCCTGCCAGCACATCTCCACCCCTTCCCTCTGCTCCCCCCTAGGTCCGGCGATTGCTTTCCAATGAATTATTTACATAAGTTCTCAGCAGCGGCTGGAGACAAAAGCTCAGGTACGGAGCAGCAGCGTGCTCCTGACCTTTCCCACCGCCGGACAAACGGAGCCAGCAGCACGAGGCGGGCACACAAAGGCGCTGCGCCGGCCGGAGCGCTGACCCCGCTGTGCCACAGCTACCTGCTGCTCTGCCACAATGGCCCCGCGGCCCCAGCCGGCCTGCCGGGCCGATGAAAAAGGGCCTGAGATAATAATGAGCCTGACTACCACTGCTCTCTTCAGAGAACTGAGTCAACTCCTTGGGAAGAAAGGAAAAAAAAAAAAGAAGCGGAAAAAAAAAAAAAAAAAAGAAAAACCCCTCTTGGATAATAAAGAAGTAACAAATGAAGACTGAAAGCCTATAGAAGGCGTCTTAACCCAGTGAAGAAAAAAAATGTCAACATCTGTGGAGCTGTCTGCAAAAACAGACCAAACCCCTAATGAATACCCTCTAGAAAAGACATTCACTCGAGGAAAGGCAAAAGGCTACATTTTTCTATGGAGGTATAAAGATTTTGATGAATCTGCCCTTTCCCTTTCCAGTGCAGTTGAACCAAGCACTAATGTTCATCTTCAGCTGTATTAAAGAGTATGGAGGGGGGCAGAGGGGGGAAGAGTCTTGATCTGAAAGCTTATGGGGAGGGTGGATTTAGGGAGCCTGGATAGATGTCTGAGCACTAAAGCAAGGAAGAAAAGCAACAGGCATTAGAGAAAATACTGTTTAACAAGAGTTTCCTTAGTCAACCCATTTGAGCAGAGATTGGTGCGCCATAAACGTAATCCTCTTAGTGCTGACTTAAACGTGTTTGTACAAAACAGGGAAATATAATATGAATGTAATAGTCTCGTTTGCTAAAATGCTTAATAAAAAGACAAAAGTCTTTTATTTTGATCTTCAGATCCGGTGTGGGCTTGGGGCACAGCAGATGTTTTTTTCAGAAATCTGTTTGAAAAAAAGAGAAAGAAATAGAGAATATGGTAGTGTCCCGGCTGGCTGTGTCACATGCACCTCAGCAGCTTCCTGGGTTGGTCTCTGGAGAAAGCAGCCCTTGCCTAAGGAGCCCCCAGGTTCTCCAGAGTGCAAGAGGAACCACTGAGGGTTGACCCTAAAAAAACACTTGGTGGGGAGCTCTTGGTAAGGCAAGTTTCAGGTGAGGGGGCGCAGGCAATTTTCTTTGCCGTGTCCAGAAGCTTTGTTGGGGGAAACAGAGCTAAGGAGTAGTCCCCAACTGGAAATGTCGCTGACAGAGTCAGACTCAGACCCAGCCAGGGCTGTTGTGGAAGGATCAAAACAGTTGTCCTCAGATGCATCCCACCTTGTGCTACAGACGCAGCGGGAAAACCAATGGGTGGAGTTGTTGTAATCACCATCTGAACATCTGCATCAATCACAGATGAATTTGAAAGACATGAACAAAATGTTGCGTGTTTTTTCTCTTTTTTTTTTTTTTTCCTGTTATATATAGATTAATCATAGAAAATACCAAACTGAAATGGCAATATTTGGGTTTGACTTTGCTTGATAAACATCTATTTAACGTTAGCCAGTATGACTGTACAGCATCAACACTTAACTGAAAGTCAGAAACCAGTAACATATTGTGTTTTTGCATGCAGATATCATCTTGCCCCAGGAAAATATGTCTCCCTCTTGGACCAGCCTGGGTGGGTGCTGGTGGTTGTTTCTTGGTGGCTCACAGGACTTGGGTCAAATCTTGAATCAATGCTAGGGTTTGTGCCACAGGTTTTGGTCATGCCACGATGCCCATATGATGCCACCTCCTGGAAATGAAGGGGTGAGATGGGGACAGGGCTGCTTGCTTTCTGCTGCAGCAAATGTCAGTGCAAACTAGGTAAAACCTATTTCCTGAAGAAAATTTCCACTCTAATAAGAATTCCCGTCTATTTTGGAAGCACATCAGATGTTTTCTGGTATGGTCCACAATGTGTACAGCAAATGCAAGGCATGTTCTGTGGAGAGCAGATATTTTCCACAATAACACATATTTTTGTTTAAAAAAAAAAAAAACAAAACCCTCTGTTCTCCCAATTAAGAAGAAAGGGGAAAAGGCTTTGAAAGCAGATAGTTTCTGACTGCCAGGGTCCTGTGCTTGGGCAGTGCAGCAGTGAGCAGGGATGGAGCACAGCAGTGGAGGGGAGCCTGGGAGTGGGAGGGTGAGGTGGGTTGGTACCTGTGCCTGGCTCTGTTAGTGGGTATGTGCAGAGGTTTGATGCCATGGGGTTCAGGTCCCTGGCATCAACCATCACCCTCTCTGTCACTTGTCACCAGGTGGGGAGTATGACAGGTTCTGTGTTTCCCACCAGGCACCTGCTTGGGAGGGTCTGCCAGGGCCACCAAGACAGGCGGCAGCACCAGGCAGAAAACTGGGGCATTTGGAACCAGATTAGTGGGAACTTGCCTATAATGCAGTTCATCCAGGTCTGTGCAGCCAGACGGTGATGGCTGGTAAGCTCTGGTGCTGGTCTTCAGAAATGACTCCCGGTTTAGGTGTGAACTGGTAAAAAAAGACTTAAACCAGCCAACCTGCTGCCTGCAGAACATAGATACATTTTTGATAATGGGAAAATAGGAAATGTGTTAATTGTTACAGTCCGTTACCACCTTTTTTTTTCGGAGGCTGTGTCTGTGACTAAGGAAAAATTAAACATGGGTGGCTTTCCCACAGGGCAAGGAAGATCTTGGTCCTCAGGGCTGCTCCTTTGGGCAACAGTGCCCCTGCTCTGCTCTGGGCAGCAAACTCCATGTGTCACATCTTCCCAGGGGCCACAGGAGGCAGAGGAAGTGCTGGAGCAAGGCAGAGCGAAGTCCATCAAAACAGAGCCGAGGAGCAGCAGCCACTCGCCGTTTCCCCGCCACCCCTTGCACCGGGTGTGAACTTGCAGGCGGAGGGCAGGGTGTGCAGCCCCATGTCAGGGAGCAGGGGGGCCGAGCACTGGCCACTCGGCTCTGGGGCAGATAAATGCAAAGGGCTGAAAAGCACAGCAGCCCTGGGGGCTGGGGCGGTATATCCTTAGTGCCGCCCCCTGCTTCCTCGCACGTCTGCTTTGTTTCTCTATTATCCCACTGGTGACAGCAGAGCCTCCAAACCCTGCTCTGTTTCCTTCCGGCGCACCTGGTTCCCGAGCCTCATGTGCTGAAGGCACATCTCTTCACCAGCAGCGTCGTTACTGTAAGGGGAACAACGCAGTTTACAGCCCAATAAACCCCAGGTCCTTCTGTGCAGGCTCCCCTTACGTGACGCTAATGCTTACAAGATGTGCAGCGCTGCGGGACGGCCCCGGGAACCAACGCCCAGCGTGTTTTACATCGCTCCGCAGCCGCAGCCTTGGCTAATGAATCCCAGGGACGAGCCCCGTGCCCGCCGTGCCCACCGCGGCCCCCGGCGCAGCGCTGGGCTCGGTCCCGCCGGGAACGGGCGGCCGCTGCCCACCCTCGGTGCCCGCAGCCCACCCTCGGTCCCGCTGCCCACCCTCGGTCCCGCTGCCCACCCTCGGTGCCCGCTGCCCACCCTCGGTCCCGCTGCCCACCCTCGGTCCCGCTGCCCACCCTCGGTGCCCGCTGCCCACCCTCGGTCCCGCTGCCCACCCTCGGTCCCGCTGCCCACCCTCGGTGCCCGCCGGGGCTGGGCATGTCCGTAGCCAGGGCCGGCCGCGGCTCGGCGGGGTGCCCGGGCACCGGGGGAAGCACGGCATTGTCTCGCAGCGGCGTTGTGATCACACACTGCGTCTAACGTGATTTACATCCCATATTCGACCTCTGGCGGCTTCAAAGCCTGCGCGAGAGGGGGATTAAGTGGAGGAGCTGGGGCCAGGGGAGCCGGGGAGTGGGGGCCTGGCTCACCTTTGAGCTGCCGTCATCCCCTCCCCGGTGCACCCGGGATAATCATCTCCCTTTGTGCTGCCGGGCAAAGCCGGGGTGCAAACACAGGAACCTTGTCAATATTGGTTTTTGAGAAGACTTTTTTTCTATTCTCCCATGTCTGGAGTTTTTGTACCCAAATCCCTTTGGGGCTTCCCAGTCTTCCCCTGGGAAATCGTGATTCCAGAGGTCCCTGCTAACACCAGCCATTGATTGAAATTTCACACCCACCTGTTTGCACACAAGATTTAATTTGGTTGATTCTTCATGCCCTTTTCCTGCTTAATCGTCAACCTATTGACCTTAATATTAAAAGGGGCTAAGGGCGAGGGAGAGAGAGAGACTACATTTCTGTAAAGGAACAAAAGCTGCCAAAGAATAAAGTAGGCACAGTCAGCCCTGAGCTAATGAGTCCCCACCACATGCAGGAGCAGGAAGCTGCCCTTGGCTGGTGCTGTGCTCCTGTGTGACAGGACACGTCTCACTGACCGTCCCTGTCCTCACTGCCCTTCACAGGACCCACAGGTTCAACGTCATGAGGGATGGGAGATCACACTGCCCGAGCCTGGGCACTTACCAGCCTGCTGGGGCTGCTTGTCCCCCTGCATTTGTCAGCGTGAATGCATCTTGCTGAAATGTGTCCTGTTCAATGGAAGATGCCATAGGATGGAGGAAACTTGGCTCCAGCAATGCAGCAAAAGGAGCAGCAGTGGACATAGGTTAGGAGTATCCTTCACACCGGCATGGGGTGCGCTGGTCCGTGCCTCATCTGGGCGCTGTGGTGTGACTAAAACACACATCAAAGCAGCTTAGTGCCACAGCCTGCCCCCAGGGATAACGCTGCCCCAGGGTAATGGTGTACCCAAGCCCTACTCCAGACCCGGCCCTGGGGCTGGACCAGTAGCCCAGCTGTGCATCCTGTGCATCCAGGCAGGCTGGAGGGCAGAGCTGCCCTGCCTGTGAACAGAACAGGGCACGGGCTCGCTCAGCCCCTGGGCTGGCACTCACCGGAGCAGCCCTGCAGCACGTGTCTGTCACAGTGCAGTGGCCAGTGGCCTCACTGCTCTCTGGGGGTCAGGCTGCTCCCACACTTGCTCTTCCTCAGAGCACAGGCAGGGGAAGGGCAGGAGAAAAAACTCCGGGAGACCATAGAAGTTGAAGTGAGAGAAACAGCCTTTCTCAGTTCGGTGGAAGCAAGGGTGTGAGTGTCTATTCCTGCTGGCTGGACTGACAGGATGCAGCCGTGAGATGCTGGGCTCTGGGGGCAGCAGGAAGGGCTGGGTGCACCAGTACGGGCAGGACACAGCCCCACATGCGGCTGTGCACACCCAGGGGGACTGGCATGCAGCTGCTCCTTGCCAGAGGCATGTGTCCAGGTTAGAGGTGGGACCCCAAGCAGTAATTTTGGATTGGGAATATCAGCCAGCCCAGACCCTGGAGGGCTCTGACCACCTTCCACACATCCCCCTCTTTCATGGGACAGAGTTTTTGGTGGTTTCTGCACTTGCAGATAATCTGCCTGCTGGAAAGCCAAAAAGGAAAAGGAGGACTATTTTTTACCCTGCTCTGCCTTCGCTGACATGAAACCGGAGCTGTGTGGGAGCGGGCGAGCGTGTGGCTGTGCTCACACGTGTGTGTGGTGAGCCGCCTGTGTCCCGGCCCTGCCTGGGGCCGTGCTGGGGGGGCGTGTGGGTGCGGATGCATGTGCGCCTTCCCCGGGGGACTGGCTTGGTCTGCAGAGTGCGGTCGTGTTTATTTAATATCTGACGTCCCTTCTGTCTTCAGCGCTGACATCAATTAATGAGTGTCTGAGCACTCATTGCTCAGACAATGAGCAATGGAGCCCAGATGTTCCCTGGCGGTGGCCTCCTTTCCTTCACCAGTGTTATGTGGGTGATAAAAAAATCTGAGGGGGAGTTGCATTTTGACCAGCGTTGTTCCAGGGCCATTCTAGGAGCACACTGGGGGGGCTTGCAGGTCAGTTAACCCAGTGGGGATGCCCACACACAGACCTCAAC